ATGGAAACACCGATCTTTTGCATAAAATATTTAAAAATAATTATATTATAAATAGAATTTTGAGGTTGGTTTAACACACTTTGTTTTATCCAGATTGTCGATTGAATAATATCAGAAGTATTGATCATGAAACAATAAATTATAACACTTCTCCACACTTTGATAAAAAATCCATGAAATGTATTTGTATAATAACTACATGCTTCTCCAAAATATTTTTTATTAATACCACACATTTTAGTAGTTAAAAAAATACAATCAAAATATTAAAACATAAATGACACAAAAAGGTGCTGAAGCAATAAAAATTGAGAACGAGACTGTTTCCAAAGTAATGAATAACAATGAAACAGATGTTGAAATTGAAATGTCAACAACAGTTGATGAAAAGTGCACTCAACCAGAAACAGTGATTCCACAAATAACAAAAGAAGACTTGAAATTAATAGAGACTTCACAGTTTATCAATTTTCATGTTACAATGCAACAAATCGTTTCGGTGGGAACAAACAAAACTCGTTCTTCTGTTCTTCGTACTTTTAGTCTTTCTATATTAGCAGGAATGTTTATGGCAATAGGTGCAATGATGGCGATAAGTGTCGGTCGTGCACTTCCAAATGTCGATAATGGTGCTGTCAAATTTATTTTCGGCCTTTTTCTGAGCATTGGTTTAAATATTGTTGTACTGACAAATTGTGAACTATTCACATCAAATTGTGCAATCGTCATCCCATCATTATTGTCTGGTAATTCAAAGTGGTATAATGTGATCAAAATACATGTAATATCATACTTCGGTAATTTCATTGGAGCAGTATTTGTAGCAGTTTATTTTGGTAAATTTCTTGGGACTTTTGAAAGTGAAATATACACCAAATCTCTTTTTAAACTTGGAATAAATAAAACAACTCACCATTGGGGAAAAGCAGTGCTAAGTGGCATTGGATGTAATTGGGTGGTCAGTACTGGCGTTTTTATGAGTAACTGCTCAAGAGATATATTTGGAAAAGTAGCTGTGGTTACAATTTGTGTGATGACTTTTGTCACACTCGGATTTGAACATTGTGTTGCTAACATGTTTTTCTTACCAACTGCTCAGATGTATGGTGCTGATATTACTCTTGGTCAAATTTTATGGAAAAATATAATTCCAGTCTCTTTGGGAAATTTTATTGGAGGAACATTCTTTGTTGGAGTACCTTTTTGGTTTGCACATGTGTCTAACGTGTACAATTTTCCAATCATTGACAAGTCGATTGTGTTAAAATGATAATTTTAAATATATTTATTTGAGCATTATTTTATACGTCTTTGTTTTTTAACAACCAACACAGACTAATAAAATTTTTTTTACTGAAATATTAAATGCAATAGATTAATTGCTTTGTTTAAATTTGTTGTAAATTATAAAAGGATTAAGAAGAATGTAACATTTTTAATATATATTT